ATCGATAATCTTTCCAACAACTGTATTATACACTCTGGGGTAACTTTAATAACTTTAAGTATCGAAAATTAGCGAATGCTAATAAATATAATATTATTTCAATTCACAAGTAAATGTACTTTTGCTAAAYAACTGGTCAATATGTCCAAACAATATAATTTATAAGAATATTATATATCTAAATAAAATTAGTCTAAACTATAATTACCATTAATAAAAAAATACCGTAACTAGGTGCATCATGTCTGATTAATTAAACGTGTTTTAATTTCATTATATCATCCAGGCAAAAAGATCGTGAAATAGAAACACCCACGTCCAGCACCAGTTTGACCTTGAGTCCAGTATCAAGCGCATCACAATGTTCGCCAGCATCACCGCCGCCGACTGCTGCAGATCTATGTGAATTCCTCCATGCTTCATCAAACAATCAATACTTTGAAAAGAATTTTTCAAACCTTACACTGTCTGGTAAGCGTTGTGTTAGGATTAAAAATTCAACGAATAAATACAAACCATTTTGGCTGAAATATTATCCAATACGTATAGATTACGAACAACGAGAATTATATGAGGCGGCCAAAACTATTCAAAAAGCGTACAGAACGTACAAAAAAAAAGAAGAAGATAAAGAAATTTCAGCTGCTTCAGTTATTCAAAATTATTATCGCCGTTACAAACAGGTTAAATGATTTATAGATGTAGACTAAATTAAATAGTCACATTCTAAAAATTTTATATTTTATAAGTTAAACACAATTAAATATAATTATAGGTGATAGTAATAATTTATTAATTGTTCAGTGACTAAATCGTATGTTTTTTCTCACCAGTATGCGTACTATAAACAGATGACAAAAGCTGCGATTTTAATTCAAAATCGGTATCGTATATACAGAAGACATAAGCGGATTAAAAAAGAAGTTCCTCGTTACATTAATAACACGTTCACTGTCATTAAGTAAGTTCGGGTAAATTGTGTATACTTCAATAGATCCAAAAATATAAGGCAMATTTTAATCAATTTTTCAATTATTCATCATCATCGTATGGTATATTTCTAATTAACGTTTTMATTTATTTTTTAATTAATATATTTATCTGACCGTAATGGTTTAGTAATTAATATTGAAACTATCAAACAAATTTTTTTTCTTTAGCGTATATTTTAATTTATAATGCCTTAACGCTAATGAAATATTTAMTAACTATATGAAATATTTCTTTAAAATTTTTTATTTCACTTTTAACTTTAGAAAAAATCAGAATCAAAAATGCCAAAACCAAGCAGCACGAAAAATTCAACAATTTATGAGACAGTCCAAGAATAGGTTAGTATTAAATCATTTTTGTCAGTTAAAACTGCTGTTGTGTTATAAAATTTGTGTGAAGTATTATATTTCCGTGAACACATATCGTTTTAATATTTTTGATGTAAAGGAAATAATACTATCTTCTTACTGCACATATAATTTTCCAATTAATCTAAATGTTTAAATTATTTATTTACAGTACGTCTCCTCCTGCGACTGTAAGTCAAATTATCTAATCCGTCTCGTAATAAACTTACAACATATATATTTACAATCCAGGATCATCGTGTTCATGGTGGACTTAGGCTGCAGATAAATTAATTATAATATTATTGTCCGTGATTTAATTTTTGTTTTGAATTTAAAAATAAAAAACACGATTCTCGTCAGTGTTTTAGTATTCGTATTTTATTATTATTATTATTGCTGAATTAAAATGAGGTACTTCCAAGTCCACCGGGACAACATGATCCATTTCAAATAATTAACCTCTGGTATTACTATGTAGAGCTTTTCACGTTTTATCTMAACATGAAAATATAATTTGTGTTGCTTTCAAGTCTATTTAATCACCAATTTGTTTTAATGACACGTTTCAGATCAACGAACGCAATTTTGGATCTCGTAAGCGAGAAGCTAACGGCAATCACAATATGAAATATCCGCCGTCAAAAGTGGCCCAATACTCGACACTCAACCAAAACTGATGTTTGACATTGCACCACTATAATTACGATCTAATTTAATGTTACTGCGTTATTGTAAAATATAATTTACCGTAGAGTCTTAGACTATATTATTATCAGCTGTAGTTGTTAGTTTCTTAATGTCAGCGTTTGAATTGTTTAGTACTAACGTATAATAGTTGTGAAGAAAACGCGAGTGACGAAACTCGTCCACATGTTAAATCTTGTTTAGGCTGCAAACAAACACATACCTATTCATTATTATTAAAACGTATATTATGTACAGGTACCATAATATTAAATGAAGTGGAGACGGATTTCTACTTTACGCGTGGGATGTAAACGAAAAATGTTCAAGTAACATGATAAAAAATTATAATTACATGGTAACGTGGTTAACCGTGTGGTAACCTAACCCAACCAACCAATCAAAGCAAAGGATTTAAGCGAACATATTGTACAGTGGAAACCCACCTTTATTTAAAATGTGTATTATTGTCAAATGCGTCCACGGTCGTTCATATTGAAACTAGTGTGGTTCGACCCCCGTATACGCGTACCTTGGTATATAGGTAATATTATTATACCACACTCGTATTGATTGGTCCTTATATAATACTATATGCACATAATATTATTCTATTTACTCGTACGTACACCACCTTATTCGATGTACTTTACTTTAACGTTTATATTATTATGTTGTCTATTATTATCTATTATAACACGATTTTATTTTAATTGTTTGACATTTTAAGTCATCGTAATATTGTAATATCTATAATGTATTATTATGTAGTTATTTTTATACACACACATATTGATATTTTATGAAGATTTGACAACTCGCGACGGATTCAAAAGATAGACGTTTTATCGGGGGCATAGATGATTATTGTTATTATTATTATTACTATTAATCATAAAATTATATTATGTATTACACAAATGTACGTACACTTTTCAATAATATWGTCAATCATTAACATGTATACGAAAATACAGGCTCAAAAACACATTAAACCTTAGAGAATAGACGAATGGGAACGGTACACATTAAATAAAATTATTGCAATATTATTATTATGTGGCATCCTACAACTTTGTAAGCTAATTCCCAATGTTAATATCATAAGATATAAAGCGGTAGGAAGACCACGAGGTGCGCGTACAGTATAGAATTTTGATTTGAGATATTAAAAACCGTTAAGGTTTAGAATGATACTGTGTTCGTCTTTTGTTAAAATAATAATATTACATTCTTTACGACCGCATTAACAACAAAGTTTAAACAATTTTCAAGTTTTTAATCAGATGTTTGCAATGCACGCGTGCAACTTACAGTGATTAATAAGTTGTTTTTCTCTTCATAATTTCTCTATTATTMTTCTGTATGGTGTTATAATATAGTAGATAACATGTATTCTTCTTGAATACCTTTTTCCGTTATGACTTATGACTAATCATATTGTTGTTATATTATTAGCGCGTTCGTTATATTAATATATACTCGTATTATGTTAAGGCAAAATTATTACTTCCTAAAAATTAAGAACACTATTTTACTTTAAATTAAGTMAACACACTGTCATCGTATATTTATTCAAAACAATAATATTAATTTCTTATAGAACCGTCGTATATGCTGATGAATATTGTGAGAAATTGTGTCAAAATTAATTGTCAATTTATTGATTTCGGGCAGAAAATGAATAGTCTTATTAGATCATAAGTATTAGCATAAGTATTATTGCAGCCGGTTACGAAATCGAAAATAGATACTAAATCAAAAATACTGAATGCCAATCATAACCACTATAATATTATTATACTTATAATGCTTTGATAGTGATTGAGTAAACATTTTTCTCGTTCACACACTAAAAACTGTTCAGTGTAACCGAGTTATATCCATGCTACTATAGAAGGTACCGATAAACGTGCTAGATCGTTGTACATGTGCAATTTTATGCCATGTAACATTTTATAATACGATTTTTGGCGTTATCCGACGAAAAAATGTATAGTTTTATATTTGGTTTTCAACGATATTGTTTATGTTAACATCTAGGGGAATAAAGATTCAATTTTTTTACTTACAACGAAGAAACGCTCCAAATGACAACAATAATGCTGATCACATAATTGGTCCACTAGTGGCACGGTTGCAACCCTATTGAGAGAAGTGCGCCTTCTTTACGACCCGATTGAGCACAAATTTCATAAAAACATAACACGATTTTGGACAAATATAATATGTACATATAATAAGTACATTTAAAATTATCTATAAATTAATAATATTTGTACAAGATTCTGTCAAATTTATAATTCAATATTTTGTTTAACAATGTAATTAGTTTTAAATTTCAAAATCATGTACCATAAGTAAAAATGATTTCTAGTTTACATTTGTATTCAAAAATCAAAATATTATAAAAATACTTGAAAGGTTAAAAAATCAAAATGTTGATTAGGTTATAAAAATGTAATAAGGCAGAAAAATGCTTGTCAATTTAAATAGGTTCTTTTAAATTCTAAGTACTTACTGCCCAAAGTGCCAAATATAAAATATAATTATATACTTATTTAGTACCTAGATATTTTGTGTACGATTGATTGGATCAATAAATTAATAAATTAATTAATTAATTAATAAATTACAAATCAGCTTATTATTTTTTTTTTTTAATAAAATATATTAGTTTAAAAATATATAATACAATTGGCTGAAGATATTTAGGTCGTCGTATTTCTTAAAGTTTCTCATCGAACCATAATTACCACATTATTTACTGAATTAAAAATTTTATATTATAATTCTTATATTTATTATTTATTATTCATATACCCATGAAAGTTTATGCATGTGAAAGTTTGTAATACGTCCTCCAACACACTACTGTAATTAAAATTCTCAAAAGATTCACCTCGCATGTTTATACAGAAAGTCAATTTGACAACGCTACCTAAAATAATAACAATTATTATTTGTGCTCTAATTGGGTTGTCAAAAAGGTCACTGAAAAAAATACAGTGCTCAATTTGATGTTATACTGCGATAACACATCCAGTGGTCGCTAATCGGTATGACTTGTAATGCGTTGATAATTCCGGGGTTAAATATTAATTTAATTACTTACACGTATCGATAAATGACCTAGAGCAGTGGTTAGATATGAACTGCATTTACATTTTTTTTTAATGATTTAACTTATTAACATAGAAATTGTATAATAGTCTTCCTCTTTTTTCTAACTAATCATTGAATCTTCTATCCGTATTAATTTTCTTACTAAACTATAAACCACATTGATTCGAATTTAAAAATAATTATATTTTTTCGAAGCACTTACCTACATAAATTAATAGTCTTTATAAATTAAAATTTCAATATTTTATATTAATTCTTAAAATTTTTAAAGAATATATTATTATTGCCATATTATATGTTTTTGTTCTTTCCTATTTCGCTATTTTGTGTTTAATAGACATCATTGGGTAAACTTATTTTTCTATAGTTATATGATTGATGTAACTTTATACGTCCGATAATAATTATTTACGTATTTATACGATTTTTTAGTGCTGCTCAATTTTAATAACAATAAGATTTTTTTATTATATTCAAGTTTAATATTGTTAAAAATGATTTATACTATATTAAAACATTATGATTATTAAGATTATTAATATTACTATAGGTACCTCCTATTATTATTTTACTCTAGCATTAAAAACTTAAATTTAAGCATTTATTTTAAAACTTTTAGAGTTTAATTCTATTGGTTTATAAACTATTCTACTGTTTTATTTGATCGTGTCTTAATGTTATAAACTTTTTCTCTTGTGTCCGAAATTGTAGTATTTCAATATATGTTTTATGGCATTTTTTGGTTTAATAAATATTTAAGTTAAAAATGAAACTTGTTGTATTTTGACCAATGAACAAAGAATCCATTGATTTATAATTATCATATAATAATAATATGCMRGTAATAATAAATCCAACAGAAAAATCTAAAGTTATTTTTAGTATGAAGTACAATAATAATAGAAACAATTTAGGAAGTTATAGTAATAAAAAAAATTTAAAAAAAATTTAAAAAAAATTTAAAAAAATATGAAGATAATAGAGCGTAGGAGCCTCTTGTGAACTTGACAGTGCAACATTAGCAGACATACATCTGATCAATCCAACAAATTTGTTGGACATTGTTGGACAACTTTTAAAGTTTGTTGGACATTATTTTCATCGTGAGACCAATTTCCAATTTTGCGCTGCCAAGTTCAAGCCAGCAGTGCAACTTTTTGTTGGAACGTGTTTTTTGTGCTAAACACGTTCTCCTCGACTTGTTGGACACTGTTGGACAATTTTTGAAATTTGTTGGACATTATTTTCCCCGGTATAAAAATTTTCAGTTGCGCTGCCAAGTTCACGCCAGYAGCGCCACTTTTTGTTGGAACGTGTTTTTAACGCTAAACACGTTCTACTCAATTTTTTGGACACTGTTGGACAACTTTTGAAATTTGTTGGACATTATCACATTTGTGCTTATGTCTTATGTACGGTTAACTGTTTTTTCGGCCAGGTTAGGTTAGCAAAAATTTTAACAATAAAAATATTATATCATTAACCGATTGACCAAACGAAATATACCATTTTGAATATWAATTTATAAATACCATGTGTAGTAAGCTAAACTTGTGAACCCTAGTGGTGATCACGACCCCCTAGTTTAAAAACGCTGCTCTAAATGTTTTGGCCAAAGCGTAATTTTTAAAACATTTACCAAGTTCTTATAAGTGTGTTAAAATAGATATTCGAAGTACCTATACATTAAGTAAACATACTTTTCAAAGCAATATATACGGAAAAGAATTAGTTGAAATACATTTAATTTTTTGCAATWAAAAAAGAATATAATAGATACTCGTATAACTTTTCAAATAATATAKAATATAATGTATATTAATGAAAAATATTTAAACAACTTTTAATATACATTGGTATCTTCATGGAAGAATACTTAATCTGTTTAAATAACATRAGATATATAATTAACAATTAAGGTTCTCCGATTAGCGTCACCCTATTCCTAACTGTGATTAATGACGTTACCAAAATAATAAAACTACCCACACACATAAACATATTTGCCGATGACAATAATATGCACCCCAAAGGAAATAATAAATCCATTCTAGAAAACATTCAAACGAGCTTAGATATCATCAGTGTTAGGAA